AGATGAACATGGATAGAGTATTAGAAAACACCAAGAAATTACTGATAATTTTGTCATCTATGGAAATAGCATTATAGTTATATCAGAAAAGTGTCCCTGTGTAAAAATTACATAATGTCTTGAATTTGCTTTTAAAAAAAAAAAGCTAGTCTTCATGGATTAATTACACTTTGAGAACAAGGATAACAAGCCTATATACTTTACTTCTATAGTGAAATAAGGTAGATTAGATAGCTAATTCACAAATTAACTTTTAGAATACAATTTCGTTCATTAACTGGGGGCACCTAAACCTGAAGTATAGTCTAGGATACTTCAGCAGCTCTATCACTTCTCATCTCAATCCCAATGTAATTGAAGGTGAGGGGAAGGCAGGTGACCCAGTGCTACGATATCTGTGACAGTTGCTAAACAAAACTCATGAAAACACAACAGGTCCTGTGGCTTCAAATGAGGTTTGTGTTTCTAACGTTTCCAACAAAGGCTGACATTTCAGGGTGTCTATAATTATTCTACAAATATTATCACAAATTTTCTTCTAAAACAAAATCCTAAAGTCTTGCATATTTACCTGGCTCTTATAAAAACATATGCATGAGAAAATAAATTTAAAAACCAGCAAAGTTTGAAGTCAAATGAAAAACTAGGGGGAAATATTTGCAATATAAATGCAGATAAAAGGAGCCCCTACAAATCAACTTAAAAAAAAAACCTACAACCCAAAAGAAAAATGAACAAAGAAAACCTGCAGTTCACAAATAAAGAAATCCAGATGACCAACAAGCATAAAGTTATTCCATCTTACTTGTAGTTAAAAAAACATAAATCAACAAAACAAGATGCAATTTTTCATGTCAAACACACAAAAATTAAAAAGATTGATACTACCCAGTATGAGCAAAGGTGAGGAGAAACAGCCTCTCATCCACTATTAATTGGAGTGTAAACTGAGCATTTTTGTGGGGCAATTTGGTACTATGCTTCAAAATTACATATGGACAAATTCTTTGACCTTGCAATTTTACTTATCAAAATATATACTTTCACACAAGATAATCTTCAAGGACATCCACTGCAACACTCTTTAAACACTGAAACTTTAAAGAGGGGAATAACCTATGTGCCCACTGACAAGGACTGGTTGAATAAATTATGATATATTCAATCAGTAAGAAATTGCAGCACTTAAAAGTATGAAGTAGAGTAGAGAGTCCTAGGATATGTTGATGTGAACAAAAGTTGAAGAACTGGATACGTATTTGAGTGGGGAAGCATACTTGTATACGCATGTAAGTCTTCCTCAGGGCTCCAGCTCCTGGGGACCCTATGAATGAGTGATGTCCACAAAGTCCTGTCCTCAACTGCCCTTTTTCAACTCCTACAGACCCGTGCCTGCCTATGGCTTCTTTTATGGAGCCCACTCATCTCAGGTTTGGTCTTCCCCTTTTTCCTACTGCCTATTTTTCCCAACATTATTATCTTTTCCAAAGGGTGTGCCCAAAGTAGGACAGCTTCAGTTTTGTCACTTTCACCTCCAGAGATGTTTCGGGCTTAATTTGCTCTAGGACCCACTTGTTTGTCTTTCCAGTGGTCCAATGTATCCACAGAACTCTCCTCCAACATATTTCAAGTGAATCAATTTTCCTGATACTATCAGCCTTCTTCATTGATAGAAGAGAATGGGTGTAACTAAAGGAATTGTCAGGAAGCTGAAAGAGGACCCAGGCGAGGTCAGGCCACTGAGACATGATTCAGTTGAAGTTGGGTAACATTAATTTGTGACTTTTGTGAATTTCTTTAGCAAAGTTCAATAGGCCTAGGAGAAAAATGGTTACCCAAAAGAGGATTTGGCTAGTGGGCACAAAGAGAAGGAAGGGAAAAAGAATCTTTTAAACAGCTGACTAGGAGGAATGGCCTTGAAGAGAGAGAGGCTTTTTCCTCTGCTTGGAATACCCTCTCCCCTATCTTCTGGGCCTAGAGAAACCTCTTAATCCTTTAAAACCCAATCAAATGCATCCTCCTCTAAAAAGGTTTCCACATCTTCCTCTTTGCTCCCAAGGTTCTCCAGACTTAGTAGATATCACATATCCATCAATAATACTCCTTGTGTCTCTTGATAAATCCAGAGGTATCAATCGTTATTTTACTTGCTATATCAGCTGTATTGACAAACTAGAACACAACACTTCACCCTGAATTCCACAACACCAGACTCTCAAAATCATCCTTGTCCCTCACTAGCTGTTCATTATGTTTCTTTGCTAGTTCATCGCCTCAAATTTATGGAGTCTAAAATTGCCTAAGGATTCAGGTCCTCTACTGCTTCTCTTTTCTGTTTACATTCACTCCTTGGAGTGATTGTCCCCAGTTTCACAACTTTACATACCAAATGTTCTCTGATAACTCCCAGATGTTTTTTTCCAGCAATGACCTCCCTACTGGACTCCAGACTTAACTCCCACTCAACATTTCCCCTTGGATGACTAAGAGACATCTCAAACCTAACACGTCATAACTGAACTAATGTTCCCCCACACGCCTGATCCTCTCATAGTTTTCCACTTCTCAGTTAATGGCAATTCCATCCATCTAGTTGCTCAAGCCCAAACCCTTGACAATCATCTTACACTTACAACCCACAGTCAATCCATAAACAAATCTATTAGCTTTACCTATGAAATACATCCAAAATGGAACTGCTAGTAACCACATTCACTTCTTTCATCCTGTGAAGCCACTACCATCTCATCTGAATTATTACAATACCTTCCTAATTAGTCTCCTGGATTTCACCTTCTACACTCTCTAACAATGTTGTTCTTAAGGCAGCGAGAGTGATCCTGTTAAAAATCTGAATTAGATCATACCCCTTCCTCTGCTCAGAAATTTCCACTGGTTATTCAACCACAGGCAGGATTCATGTACTATATTTGTATCTCTACACGACTAACAATGTCTTGCCACATAGTAGGTACTTAGTAACTATTTGTTAACTGACGAAAATGAAAGTAAATTGGAACCAAATTTTGGAGAATCTTAGTATCACATTAGAGCTTAGACTTATAAATATTAGGAAGTCACCACATGGATCAAAAAGAAAAAAATATGTAATCTACATTCTGGGCCTCTTTCCATCCCTACTCCAAGTAGAGTCACACATAATTACCGGTATGAACTAAGTGAGAACAAAGCCAACATATAATTTTTTTGGAACTAAAGACACATCTGCACATATTGCACCAGAATTCTGTTAGTGTAATGATTTTGTTGCACTGAATCATCTTAGAAAATAATAACATACAATCTCAATAAATACTTCTGTCTTTGGCAGACAGGCCATGGTAGTGTTACTTGTAAATCTCCTTCAAACTTACAGTAAACCTCTGAGAAAAGATAGACTTCATCCTTTTAAAGGTATTAACCTCTAAAACCAAATTTATCACAAAGTCTGATAACAGAATGATATAAATTACAAAGAGGTTGCTAAAGATTGAGATCACATCAGATAACAATGAATTTACTTCTATTGTTTAATTCTAATGATTAATTTGATGTATTTTCAAAATTATACAGCAGCAAAATTACCTTCTAAAACCATGAAATTTGCTTATCACATTTTTTCATCTCTAAAATAATCATATCAGTATACAGGACTATTGTGTAGATTAAGTGAATATAGGTAAAAGCTATTAGAACAATGATGGCCCAATAAGCACCAATACATTAGTAATATTAGTTATTATTTTAGTGAAGTGAAAATAATCAAATACCTTAATCCAATGTGAACTATTTAGAGGCACACTAGAATGGTCAACTGTTTGGAAAGAGCAGCTGAGATAACACACATAAAGAGCCATGTAAAAAGTCGTGAAAAACCATCACCTCTGTACCATAATACACACAATACAGCTATTTGAAGTCAGCAATAACATATTTTGACTGAAAATTGTTTTATTATTAAAAAATCATTTTTCGCATCATCATTTTCTTTCAACAAACGAGATTTATCATTTCAAACAATCACAAGCAGTTCTCTGAGTTTCACCAGCAGTTATCTAGTTATTTTCAGATCCAACATCAACATGCGGTGAAGTCTCAGGTTCTATCTACTACCAGACAGTACAAATTAGGTTAACACGTGGATAGCAAACAGCTCATTGGGATAGCTACGTCTTCATCAAGCCAAACCCGAACATCAGTCAACAAATAGGAAGATGTTAAAGATCTTTTCAAACAGCAAACAGAAATTTTAATCACACTGAGCCATAACGTAAAACCATTATCTTGCGATTATCCACTACAGCAGAGGTGTCAAACTCATTTTCCCCCGGGGCCACATCGGCCTCCACGTTGCCTTCAAAGGGCCAAATGTAATTTTAGGACTGTGTTAATGTAACTACTCCTCCGTTACCGACAAGGAGCTCTACATTTGGCCCTTTGAAGGCAACCGCGAGGCTGATGTGGCCCCCCGTGAAAACGAGTTTGACACCACTGCACTAGGTTTCAGCTGAAGGTCGAAATTAGCCCACTCTCTTGGGTGAGCTAACAGAGCATGGGCAGTTCCCGATCATGAATTTGAATGATACAAGTGGGAGGCACAGGCAAGTGACTCCCCTGCAGCTCTTCCTTTTGCCTTTTTCCCTTAAACAAAGATTAAAGGCAGCTGAAAATTAATTGTGAAGTCATGTGTTTATAATTCTCCGCCTTCCAATATTTGAGGGGTGGAGCTAAGAAGAGTGTAAAAAGCGAAAGGCTGGGCCCAGAGAGACGTGAGAGGGCCAAGTAATCCCAGACCTAGAAGTCGCCCAGGACAAGTAAAATGAGGGTCCCACACAGTGCTCGCTCCAACGCTCAGCTGAGCGAGCTCGCATTTGCAGAACGCTGTGAGGCCCGACCTCGCTCCTCACAGCCAGCCGGAGGATGAAAGGGGTACCCCAGCACAGGAGAAGACGACTTATGCAGAGAACGAGAAAAACGTAAAACCCAGCTTCTAATAATACCTCACTGGCCTTCCACTCGCGTCTCCCGGAAAGCAGTCCGGCGGCGGTGACGTCAAGGAGGCGCCCGCTCTGCTTGCCTTGTCAGCGCCGCTCTGTGATGACCTCACGCTGTTTGCCCCGCCCCGCCGCTGCCAGCACCGCCCCTCCGTTCCTTTTCCCTCCGCTTTCCAAGGCTACTTGTTCTAAAGGGCCTCTGGCTAACGTAGTGGAAGGAGCTTGAGATGAGACGCTGGGCTACTTTCTCTAGATTTGTATTTGGCTAAAGCCCCTAATACAGGTTGAGCTTGTTTAACTAGAAAAAATATGTTCTTTATTTCAGCTTTGTTCAGGTTTTTACTTTCACCAAAGCTCATCCCAGGACCATGGTTCCTACTACATTCCCATCGTCTCCTTCAAAGTGAGTCTCGGAAAAGCTGCTTCCCAAATTATCTGTAGTGAACGACAAGTTCTTTATTTTTCCAATCCATCGCTAAGAGATGCTTTTGTAAAATGCAGTAAAAATGGACTACTTGAAAGAAGCAAAATATTTCAGTAAACTGAACATGAAAAAGAGCAGAAATTGTACATATTGTTCATTTAAAGTGTAGTAAGCAGTTAAGCACCATTTTTACATTCCTAACCCTTTATTCCGCAATCGTAATTTACTTAACAAAAAGCTTTGAACAAACACCCTGTATGTCAAAACCTAAAGTTTTTTAAGTAGCAAATGAGTTATCTTCTGGTTCATTATTCTAACCTAGCCAGATTACAGTAGCTTCTAATAGAAGGCAATGTATCTAAACTGTTCCTCTGTTTTGTTTTGTTTTTAATTTTTATTTACTGACTTTCAGAGAGAGTTGGGAGGGAGAGAGAGAAAAACATTAATTTGTCGTTCTGCTTACTCGCGTATGTATGCATCCGTTGGTTGCTTCTTGTATGTGCCCTGACAGGAGACCTGAAACCTTGGCATATTGGGATGACACTACCCCTGAGCTAGCCAGCCAGGGCAAAATTAAATTATCTTCTGATGAAAACAATGAATTCAAGATTTTATACAATTCCTGGCTGGCGTAGCTCAGTGGATTGAGCGCGGGCTGCAAACCAAAGTATTGCAGGTTTAATTCCCAGTCAGGGCACATGCTTGGGTTGCAGGCCATGGCGCCCAGCAACCGCACATTGATGTTTCTCTCTCTCTCTTTCTCCCTCCCTTCCTTCTCTAAAAATAAATAAATAAAATCTTTTAAAAATATTTTATACGTTGCTAGGCTCACAGTCACCAAGCCAATTTAAAATATCACAAGGTGCAATGTGATCCTACTGCACCTGACTAGCACACAATTCACACCTCGTGGGAGACCTCCTGGGACTCAACATGTGAGTTCAACAACATCCAAACTAATCCATACCCTATTCAAGAAACTCGGTTTAACAATCACAGCTATTACAGCAAGGTCAAGTTGCCATAAAAGTATATAAATGATTATTCTCAACTTCTGCACTCATCTCAGATAAAGAACAGACAGATCATGAGCAGTTCATGGACTGACACCACTCCACAGACCACAGAAGGTGCACTGTCCTTGAAAGTTGGGTAACTAACCTTACCATTAAGAATGTCAAAGACTCTTAATACTCTTCATGGTATTAAAGACTGAAATACCACCTAGAATAAATCAGAGCCTGAGAGATTGCCCTACACCAAGATGATACTGAGGCTTTAAGGCAAAATGTCACATCTTTTCATCACTTGGGTCCTTCAGGAAACAAATGTGGAAATAGAGTTAGGAATATAAGAGGTTTATGGGGATGGTCATTAAAAGATAAAAAGGGAGGAAGCAGGACTGGGCAAACAGCCTCAGACCAGGGTGAACATCTCACAGGTCTTAGCCAATCCACAGGTAAGCTCTAAAGCAGAGTGCCCCATAGAGGAGACTACACTGGGCAGAAACAGTGAGGCAATGGTACCGCCCTCTATGTTCAGTCATTGGCAAGGTCATGGCTCAGCTTAAAAACAGAGGCAGAGGCTAAAGGTGCTACCAGCTGGAGGCTGCCAACCAATAGCACTTCTACAACCGAATGGTAAACTCTTTCTTAAAGGAGATCTGATGGGCACACCTCCTCAGCTGCTGTACACTGGCCATCTGCACTACGGTAGCACCACAACCCCATGATTTGTTAAACAAATATTTACTGAGTTCCCATTATGTGCCAGACTCTATTCTACATGTTACATGTACAGGAGTGAAAAAAGCGCCTCCCTTAATGGAACTTACATTCAAATTTCCCACTGGGAATACCGCCCTCTCTTCCCCGCCCCCTCCACTTTACTCTCCCATTCTCTGTCTTCACTGCACTTTTTTCTCTTATAACACCTGATTTCAACATTTAAACCTTCCTGGTTCATGCATGAGTATTGCTTAGATCCCCTAACAAGCAATAGGGAGAGAAAAGTCAGCCAGTGGAATCTAGAGAAACCAAATTCATAGATACAGAGAAAAGATTGATGGTTGCCAGATGTGTGGGGGGAGGGGGGTAATAGGGCAGGGCGGGGGAGGGGGCAAAACTGGTGAGGGGGTCAAAAGGTACAAACTTCCAGTTACAAAACTTCCAGTCATGGGGATGTAATGCACAGCATGGTGACTATAGTTTTAAAAAACTGTACTGCATATTTAAGAGTTGCTAAGAGAACAGATCTTAAAAGTTGTCATCACAAGAAAAAAAATTGTAACTATGCCAACTGATGGACATTGATTAAATTTATAGTACTAATAATTTTGTAATATATGAGGGGGGAGGCCCAACAATGGAATTTATTTATTAAAAATTATGTATTTATTCTTACATATTTAAACTTCAGTCACCTTCAAAATACCCTCTATTTGTAGCAAGACTTTTTCCCACTGCTCAGAACAGTTTCTGAACTCCTTGATTTTGGTACTTTTTAGTGATTCTGCAGGGGTGTGTTTTTGGTTTTTTGTTTTTGTGGTTTTTTTGTTTTTTTGTGTTTTTTTCACATCTCCCACAGCAGCAAAATATTTTCCTTTGTGAACTTTTTTCATCTGGGGAGACAAAAAAAATCATTTGGGCTGAGATCAGGTGAACAGGGAGGGTGGGGCATGGTAGGGCAGGATAGGGTTTTGGTGATGCCATTTTTGATCAAAAACTGCTGAACACTGAGGGTGGTGTGGGCAGGTGTACTGGTAAATCACCCATCATAAAATGGGTGATTTTGAAAAAGCCTTCAAAAAAATTCACTGAAGCTTAATGCAGCCTCTCACCACAATGCCAGCTGGCACACTGATACAAATGGGTTCCTAGAACACTCACCCAGCGGGGGAAGCCTGTACTACAAAGGGCCCACACTCCAGAAGATAATTTTGGTTTTTGAGGGTCCCCCTTGCATTATATCAAATCATTATGTTGTATACCTTAAGTTAATATAATGTTGTATGTCAATTATATCTCAATATAACTAGGAGAAAAGAAGTTATCCAAAACCTCAGGTCACAGGGAGAGAAAATACCTCCCAAGAGCATTTCAAAACCACTGCATTATGCTACTTCAAGTTTCTGTTACTCCATTCCACATTAGGAAGCTGAATTCACCCCAAAGTACCAGTAAATACTCCAACCCTTGGCTGCAATGAAAAAGAGTGAATATGTAACAATAGAGCTGGCATTGGAAGTGGAAGATAAAAGCACTGATCACATTCCCAGTGCAGATTATTTCCTTCCCCTTGATTATGTTAAATTACAGATGATGGTGGGAGACACTATAGAAGCTCACAGGGCAAGCAAGCTCTGTGACCCTAGGCAAGTTATTTAACCTCCCTGATCCTCAGTTTTCTCACCTGGGAAATAGAGACAATAGTAGTACCTATTTCGTGGGTACTGTGAGGACCAAATGAGACACTGTAAGTGCTTACCACAGTGCCTGGCACAGAGTAAGCATTTAATAAACATTGTTAGCAACAATAAGTATTACTATATAATATCACAAAAACAGGAGGAAATAAGACCATTGTGATATTAATGAAAAAAAGAAAATTATGATGTTGAATTTAGGGAGTTTTTTAAATCTTAGTGTTCAAAGTATGTTTAAGAAAATCAGGCTCCCAATTAATATCAGAGTAAAGCCTTTGATTTTTTTTCTTTTAAAGATTTTCTTTATTTATTTTTAGAGAGAAGGGAAGGAAGGGAGGAAGAGAGGGCGAGAAACACTGATGTGTGAGAGATACATGGATTGGTCGTCTCTCGCATACCCACAAGTGGGCACCTGGCCTGCAACCCAGGCATGTGCCCTGACTGGGAATTGAACCAGAGCCCTTTTGGTTCACAGGCCAGCACTCAATCCACTGAGCCACACCAGCCAGGGTGAATTTGTTTCTTTTTTTTTTTATTCTAGGGATCAAACCGAGGACCTCATACAAGCAAAGCATGGGCTCTACCACTGAGCTACATTCCCCATCCCCTTAGAATTTTTTTCTAGCTTCTGAATGACAGCATGAGAAAAATCACCACTTTACAGTCATCATAACTATTGACTCCGTGAGATTCACCAATAGATGCTAAATGAAAATAGACATTCACACGACCTTAAATCATCTCATCACAGATTATTTTAGAAATACAAAGGTAAAAATGGTCACGTCTTCGTGGTGCCATTGTGGTTGGTGGGGGTCCTCTTTTCTTTGCAGACTGCTGACTTCTTGTGTTCTGCCTTGGGGAAGGAAGAAGGGAGCTGTCAGGCTTCGTTTCTAAAGACACTGATATCATCGTGAGGACTCCACCCCCTGTGACCTAATCCCTTCCCAAAGCTCTAGCTCCTAATTCCATCACCATGGGCAGTAGGATTCCAACATAAAAATTTGGGGAAGGGTTGGGGGGTCACAAGCATTCAGACCATAGCACTCCACTTCACTGTGCTTTATTGTCCCAGATGATTTACATCAAAAAATGGAATAAAGACAGAATTTGAAAACCTTCCTAGGATTGGCCATTTGAAAAAATAATTGTGATGAAGCAATGCTTATTTAAGGAATTGATTCCTGTCATATTCCTTTCAAATCCCCTGAAACCTTGCCACATAATCATG